GGGTTTATCTCCAGTTTCCAGCACAAGCAAGTTATTTAGTTTCTCCCACTGGCCAAGCTAATATTTCTTTTCACGTTTATTTTATTTATTTCTAAAAGTCTGAAGTGAGCATTCTCAGAGTAGCATGTAAATCCTCATCAGAAGCCCTTTTCTCCAACACATTTTCCCTGGCAATGGGGTACTGGGACCCCAGACCAAACCCCATCTGTGCCCCGCCTGCTACAAGAATCCCCCCAAACACATCCCTTCTTCCCGGGTTCCAGATGAAGACGTATAAAGCGGCAGGGACACTGCAGCAGGGGCTGCCTGCTACCTTCAAGCCCAGGGGGACCTGCCACCTCCTGTCACCCACTGCCTGTCTCGTGCACTTCTCCAGAAAACTGACATTCAAAATTGGGAGTAGGGGGAGACAAGCCTATGAGTGACAGCTGATGGTTAATTCCTCCCATTACAGCTTCACTTGGTTATGGAAAGGGTAATAACATGCACAACTGAATTCCCTGTGATCAACACTTCCCCTTCCATGGATATCAATTGGGAATTCTGCAGAGAAATTTAGAGGAGATAACCAAGAGAGATATCCCAGGTAAGTTTTCACGGTTTTGACTGAGAAAGGTAAGCACCCCGCACACTGCCAAGCAGGGTCCATGTTTTCTTGAGCTTGGCTTTCTAGAAGCATTCACTTCTCAGACCTTTACCACCAGCTCAACCTGTGCTAGGCGTCCTTACCTCATCTCATTTAATCTCCAGCATAAGTCTAAAAAGTAGGTCTACACGAGGAAACTGAGGCTCAGAAAAGTGAAATGGCTTGCTTGGGTAGCCAGCTCAAGCCAGGGCACTGGGATTCAACCTGTGCTCCCTCAACCCCTAAAATTCCCAGCCAGCTCCCCAGGGTGAACGGCCAACAAAGAGCTGTCCTCCTGTGACAGCAATGGAACAGGAGACGGAACTGACACCAGCAAGAGTCTCTCTCATTCTGACATTGCTCCTGACTGTGGAACTCCTAGAACCCAGTGGAGGTTTTTCCCCAACCCTAACAGACACCCCAATTCCAAGGAGGCCAGTGCTAGCTCTTTTAACACCTGAAAATAGGATAGAAGTAGGAAGAAGAAGAAATATGAGCCCTAGGAAAAGCTCATATTTGCAGCACACCTCTCCCTACCATGCACCAGGCACAGGTCATAAATGTCACGGTTATCATTAGGGACATGCACAGATGAAGAAACTGCCTGAGGCTGGCAGGGTGCAGGGTGGGGCTCAGACTTGGGCAATGTCCTTTCCCCACAGAGCAGCATATGGCCCTCGAACCCCAAACACTCCTAACCACCTTCTCTCCTCAAAATGCCCCTCCTGGATAATAGCCCAACAGTGACACAGGTCCTTTACAAACCCAGAACGCCTCTCAGCTCCCCTAGATGGATGAGTCTTCTGATTCCAACAGAGCCCCTCATAGAGGCAAAGAGGATGCCACAGGCAGGGATCCTAAGAATGTAAAGAATGTAAAGAACATACAGATAGATGTCTAATACCAGAGGCTCCAAGCCAAAGACCCTACCTCTGACCAGCTCCACCCCATCCCCAGATAGGCCTTGAAACAAGCCACCAAGGACCTCCTCTCTGCCCACAGCAGACACTCAGAGAGCAAGGACCCAAACCCAGACTACACAGGTCAAAAGCAGGGCCACCACCAGCTCACACTGGGCCATGCACCCACTCCAGACGTCCTCTCCCTCCCCTGAGGGCTCCTGACCTAGGGAACCAGGAGGTGATGCCCAGACGGGAAGGTGGGCAGTTATAGGAACTCAGAGCTAAATGAATGAACAAATGAACGAAGGCCCTCCAGGAAACAAAGCTCCAGAAACCTTCTCCTCTATCTTCCTATCTCTCTATCATTAAAAAGAAAAAAAAGTAATAATAACTCCTTTCATCCCCATCTGCGGTATCATTGTCCCAAGAAAAAGGCTGACATGGGGTCTGTACCCTAGTGCAATGACTGACAGAATTTCAACACACTTCTCACCCTGGGCACGCCCTTAAAGGTGGAAGGAATCCCTTCAGATCCATCTCTGGAGCCCCCACCTCCAGAAGCACCTAGTAACAAGGAAGACCTGGGGCCTGTCTGGGCATGGGAAGACTGCTGGACCCTCACAGCCCCTCACCTTGGACTCAACCAGGCCTGGGCAGCCAAATCCAAAAGCAGAGTCCCAAGAATGAGGAGCAGGAGCCTGGGCATGGAAGGGCTGGAGGATCCCTCGGAGCCACTGCTGGGAAGCAGGAGCCCATGAGGCCAGCAGGGCCAGGGGTGTGGGCAGCAGCTGTGTGGGTTTCCGGAAGCCCAGGCAGAGAAGCGCTGTGATTCCTAGTTTCCCTCTTAAAATATAAAGACTCAATTATCTTTGAGCAGCTTGCTTTACACATGAATTGACACATTTATTTTACAATAAATAACTGAAAGTTATCTGTGTTTCCTTTACTGTTAATCTACACAGAGAAATAATAAACAGGGCTTGTCTACAAAAATGCAACTACTGCAGTCCTCAGAATTCAATTAAGCTAAAATAATTAATGCTCCCACCATATTAAATTACTTTATACATTTGGGCCACTGAAGTTTTATACTTTAATCTTTGCTTTTTTATTAAATAAAAAAGAGAGAGAGAGAAAAGTTGGTACCCAAGTAGGCAGGGAAATAGGAAAAATGGGAACTAAAAGGAAAGCACATGATGTGTTGTTAAAATGGAATGGTCGTCTTCAGCTGACACAGCATGTAGACTGTTTTGTGCCTTTGATTAAAATAACATTTTAAATGCTTTGAACAAACATATCTCTTTAGACTTCTAAGGGATTATTTTACATATTTCTTCTAGAATGAAGCAATCCATTTGTCCTGTTGCTGAACAGAAAGGCCAAGAATATCTTTCGTCACACATAAAATAAAAATACCGCTGCTGCAGTATTACAACGGAGCGGGGGTGGGGGTGGGGGTGGAGAGAATAGGAGGGCAGGGTAGGGGGTGGGGTGGAAGGATGAGGACAAAGCTGCCTCAGAGATTAACTTTGCCTTTTATGAAATCCTATCTAGTCACTTTCTTAAACAAACCTACCACAATGATCCGTAGCCTCTCATTGAGAAATACCTTCAATGTGAAATGAGGATTGAGATGTTATTGGCAAAAGCTAGTCGTCCCATTGAAACATAAATAAGGGGCCTGAGTCTTCCCAGCCAGCGGAGGCCACCCCTGAAAGGTCTGTGCCGCACTAACGCCTGGTGTTTACACCACGGGTGAAACTATCCCTTGAGTGTTAGCCGGCACAGACAAAAGGGACAAAGCACCTCTCTTGCCTGACATGTTGGCCCAGTGAAAGAAGTGCCCCTTGGATGCACATAGCACTCTGAGAAGATAGTGTTTACATGCCTGTGGCCTGGACAGAGCAGATATTTTTCTCTGTATCCTTTGTATCTTGGAGAGATTATGAGAGACTCCATGCTAGGGCACCCACTAGAAGGCAAGGAAGGCCCAGAGGCCAGTCTGGTTCACTGGAGTCTCCCCAGTACCTAGCACGTGCCGGCAGGAATCTGCAAGCCACCAGTCTCCCCTAAGAAAAGTCTCCCTAATCCTCCATACAGGTGGGCAAAGTGAGGCCCAAAGTCACAGAGCTGCCACGTTGGTAGGAACAGGCTTGCAGCATCACCCTGACTGCCTCCAGGAGGATGGGGGTCCCTGCCCATACCTATCCCTCTCACCCTCCTAGAAGCATCCAAAGCCTCAGTCCCTTCAGGGTCCTCATTAGCTTCCATGATGGGCAGGGGAGGTGGGGATCAATCCAGCTACCACTTTGCACATGGCAGAGCCAGAGAGAGAAGTCCTATTAGCAAAGCACTGATGCCAATCAGTGATGCACTGCCCATTAATCTTCATATCAGACCTGCTGGCATTATCACTCCCTACTGACAGATGGGGAAACTGAGGCTCAGATTCATGAAGTGGCCAAATTTCAACCAGCAATATTTGAACCCTCATCTGCAGGAACTCTGATGCTCATTTTGCTCTTAAACAGGTTGCTGTTCTTAGGGAATACAAGTGGACCAGCCCTTCCTTTCTCCCCCAGGCCTGCTGGGATTAGATGTATAAACCAGAAGAAAACACCTTGGTTTGAATAGAAAGCAGCAGCTCCCTGGAGGAGACTCCAGCATACACAGCCATGGCCAGGAGGGACAGACTTAATGCAAACTCACTGTGATGAGCAGACCTAGTTGGAGGATGCAGACTGGTGCCTGGGGGAAGAGGGACCCACACCTGTTCTCAAGGTGGTAAAACCAGCTGTCTCAAGATGAGTGAACATGCCAAAGGCTCCAGCAAGTTCCCACACCCTTTCCCAAGACCTACCCGTAGGGTCAGGCAAAATCAGAAGCGGCCACTGGGATCAGAGAGCCTGACCCCTCTTTTTGCAGATGGGGAACTGAGTCCAGAGAGAGGAAAGGGAGAGAGGAGAGGGGAGAAAATGAGAGCTCCCATTCTTAACTGTACTGCAACAGGCAACATCTCATTAATCCTCACAACAACCTTAACGAGGTAGGTTTCCTTAGTTCCATTTCGCAGATGGGGAAACTGATGTGTCCAAGTTGTAAAGAACAGATTCCAACTGAAGACTGTCTGGCTTTAAAACTAGGGACAAAGCCAACATCAGTAGCAAAGACAGGGCCAACCAGACTTCCACATTTCCATTCTGCACTCTTAGCTGCCTCTGTATCAGACCCCCAAACAGAGTCCATTATACAAAAGTAAAGCAACTACCAACCATTCAGACCTTCCTGGGCCCCCAGCCTGTCTCCTCCTGAAGGTCACCTGGATAGTGGGCCCTCAGAAAGGGTTAACCCCAGCTGGGGGCCCAGAGGCCATTGTGGAAGCCCTAGGCCTTCCCCCAGCACCAGCACTCTCAGACTGTGCAGGACCTAGGAGGTAGCTTCAGCAGCGACCAGGCGAACGCAGTGTCCCATACCTGCAATGTTCTCCTGCTTGGGGCAGATGCCTTTTGTGGGTGAGAGCAGGTGGTCATCTTCATCAGGGGTGACCTGGATCCCGATCTCCACCGGCTCGGACACTTTCCTGAGCTCGGAGCGTGAGGAGGGCGGCGGGCTGCTTTTGTCCAGACCTTTGTCATAGCAGGCACTCAAGCTGCCACCACACTGCTTCCTCTTGTGCTCTATAAAAACCAGGATGTCCCCCAGGGGGAAGTTCATCTGACACTGGCCACAGGTGAGCAGGTCAGGGTCGGGGCCACCCACCATCAGCCCCAGGCCACTCGGCTCCTCTATCTCCAGGCCCTCGTCTTCCTCGAGGATGGCGGCCTCCACATGGTCAGCCTCTGCTGGAGACAGAAAGGAAAAAGGGAGGGGCAGAGAAGACAGAGGTGGGCTTAGGTGATCACAAGCACCCAGTGTTCATTCCAACCCTTCCCCACCAAGAGGCAGTGCCCTCCACTGCTGGCCGGGGAGTCACCAGGTCTTCCCCCAGGGTTGGGACAGACAGCCCCACTGAGGCTCTGGGAGCAGTGTCATAGTGCCCAAAGGTTGTCACATAAGTAGTGCCGATACGCTGGACTCTAGTGCATTTCTGCCAATTTCTCCCCAACACAGCATGAGAACACGCACACGGGCACACACTCGTGCACGCACACACACATACGTAATCCTGGCTGCTAATAGTATCAGGTAGAGACGTATCTCAAACTTTGCAATCTCTGAGAATCACCTGAGGGGCTTTGAAAAACTCCAGTGCCCAGGCAGCATCCCCAACCAATTACACTGGGAATCAAACATCAGTCTTTCTTAGACTCTCCGGGTGGTTCAAATGGCTAGCCAGGGCCAAGAACAGTGAGCTGGAGCCCCTGCCCCTCCCTTCCCTACACCTTCATTCATATCCTCCCCATTCATGCGAGTCCTACACACATTCCTCCACCTGAGACCTGGCTGCACACCAAACTAGAAAACAGAAACCCAGACAGGCGTCAGAGGGCCAGGCCTTAGGAGAGAAAGAAGCCCACATGCTCAGAAAGCAACAAGTGAGTGTCGGGTTCCAAAAAATATCAAAGGAGAAAACAATGCCGCTGAAGGGACGCTGAAAGCAGACTTTCCTGCCAAACACCCTGGTCCTGGTCGGACTTTCATTTCTCTGCTGATTTCCCAACACTCATCAACTCCCCACCGTCCGTTTTTGTTTGTTGGTTTTATTTTCACTCTCAGAAAAAGAAAAGAAAAAAAAAAAAATTCTCCAGACTCCAAAAGCGTTCCTTGGCAGATATCAAACCACACTTTCAATGAGCTATATGTTTTTACATTTCTTTAGCAGATTTCCTTTTGTGGGAGCAGGGACATAGAACCCAAGTATTTTGACGCTAATAAGTGTCTCAAAAAGCAGCAATCCCCCCCCAAGGGAAAATTAGAAAAATCAGCAGCCAGAAGTGTCATAAATTAAAAAAAGTGGACGATGTGGAGGTTTCATATTCCCCTTGGGGTCTGAGCAAATTCGGGTTGAAATATTTCAAGAGCAAATGTCAGCCGTTGTACAGAAGGCACAAGTGGCCAGGTCTTCGGGGAAGTAAGGAGCAGCCAAAGGCCTGAAACTCAAGGAAGCAGGTACATTTTATGTTGTATGGGATTTAGGAAAGGATAACGAAAACCACAGCAGAACAGCAAGAAGGAATGGAAGAGAGGAAAATACATTCCGTGGCAGTGAAGTTATTGACGGGCCAGAGCCAAAGAACAGATAATTTAAGGAAAAAATTCTGTGGCATCTTCCATCCTACATATAAATCACTGTTCTATATTTTCTGAACACAAGCTTCTTCAGGGCCTAGGAGAGTCCGTGTATAAAGCTGAATGCAGAATATACGATATATAAAATGTACATCCCTGAGCTATCCATGGATGGGTAAGGGCATAGGGATGGCTAAGGAGGGAAATTACAATTTGCAATCCTGCCTGTGGTTACAGAAGAACAGACACAGCCCTCAATGAATTACGTGTAGAAATGCATCACAAATGTGGCAGTACAAAAACACCCTGCAGATGAGGAAATCCGAAATCTGTTGTCTGTATATCTCTAACAAAAAGAACCTACAAGGTAAAGAAACAGTCCTCACAAAGCCAGTCCCAGAAACCATTAATTATTCTTTAAAAAGAAATCAGAGTTTACTTAAAAAGGAGTTGGAAGACAATGCCACATAATTAATTTACCAATTTATTTTATGAAAAGATGCTTTGCTATGGTTAAAATGTAATCACAACCTTCCCGCTGAACAGTGGTTCCAGGGAAGACTGGATTCCTGTGAATGGTTTGTCAGAACGTAAAAGGTAATTATTTGGTGCCTCTTTTCCCTTTAATGATCTAACATTGAGCAATACTGTTTATATTGAAAAGCTCGCACCTTTAATTACCAATTACATATACATAATTTCAGAGCCAAAGGAGAGGGCTGTAAAAACAGTTCTTTAGAAATGTGAGGATGTATTGTGCACCATTTTTAGAGAAGTAGCTCTAATAAATGGGAGGAGGATGTCAAAATATTGTTTTGTTAAAAAAAAAAAAAGAGGCACAAAGGAAATGAACTGAAAAGCAAAAAAGGACATAAAGAAATTGAGAATTCAAAAGAAACAGGGGCGAGGTGCTCTACCTGGTACCATTTTAAATGTCACCCCCGTGTGTAGGCCTGGCAAACTCCCGCATAAGTACAGCATTTGATAAAAACAAACCCCAACAAATCCACATGCCAAACCTGATCATCCTTTCTGATGGTGAGGAGGTGTTTACTTTTTTGTTGTTTTTTACTAACTTTTCCAGCCACGTCCACCCTCCTGGGTAGCAGTTCCAACAAGCACAAATATTTCCTCTCTGCTAGTAGGTTTTAGGCTACATAATTTCAAATTCATTTTCTAATTCAAAAGAAACACAGACTAATTTAAAAATTAGCAAAGGTCACATATGCCTGTTCACGGCATCCCTCTCTCTCGGCTCCCTCTTTTGCCAAGACTCTGTACCAGGACTTTTTTCCTTTTCCTTTTTTTTTTTTGTAACATCTGGTATTCTTTCCCTTTTTTTGGCAGTCTCTGCCTTTTCACTTTCCTCATGCAGCAAGCCCTGTGAGCCCCAGTAATTGAGTTTGAAGGTGTCCAAAGCCGTTTACTGTGCTGCAGTTCGGATTTCTGTGTCAGGTCCTTCACAGCCAAGCAACGCAAGGAGCCAGGCTCTGCAGGCGTCCGGCACACAGTCCCAGGATCATCCAGGGCTCCAGGGCTCCACTCTAACTCAGATCTCTACCTCCCAGACTAGCGATCCAACTAACTGCCTGTAAGCAAATCTTACAAGGAGGAAAGGAAACCAGAAGGAAAAAAAAAATTCTCCTTCTCCTCCCACTTTCAGCATTGAAAGTAAAACTCCCTAAGATGACAGGGTGTTCCCCCAACTCCAGAGAATGGGGTTTCCTCTCCCCGCCCCCAGGCTATGGAGCTCTGAGCCTTAGCCTGCCGTTTCATATTTCCCAGGAAAGTGGCAAGGTCACCCCCAGCATTCAGACAACAGAGTCACCCCGCACCCAAACTTCTGTGTCAGAGCAATTGGACTAGGCAGCTCGCTGGGCCTGAAAGCTCACGCTCTAGGCCTTTGGAGACACCCCCAAAGACTGTGGTTTCATTTCCGCTGGCAGGCAGATACCGAGCTGGGCGTATAAGGTGTGTGTGTGTGTGTGTGCGTGTGTGTGTGTGTGTGTGTATGTCCCTTCTTAGAACTATATTGATAATGGAAGAAATAAAGGAGATTGAGCTACTTAGCCAAGCCCTGAAAAGGCTAAAGTGAGAATATGTCTGCCCCCTCCACCAAGAGCCCCCTTTCTCTGCCCCGGGGATACCAGAGTCTCCTGGATTCAGAGAACTAGGCCTCTGTTCTGACAGAGTGGTCCGACCTGCCACCCAGAGATGAAAAAGCAGCAGAAAAGGGAAAAGACAAATAAAAACAGCCTCTCAAATCCCCAGACCCTACAAATGAGCCTCTCATACAGCCTTGTCCAGCAAACTCAGGGCTTAAAAAAATAAGGCAAAGAAGAGATTTTCCTCTGAGATAATTTCTGTGTTTATGAAAAGCTCCCCCCTATCAGGCAGTCCTGCAAAATACTGCTATTCTCAATATATTATACGCTGAATAAAGTAGAGCAATTTATAAAATGTTTGACTCATTAAAAGGAAAAATGAATGGATGCAGCAGGCAAGTTGTTCAAGCGTCAGATACCAGAGGGCTGGGGTGAATTCTGGAATGCTAAATCCTAAAGTACATGGACAAATATATATTCACACACACACACACACACACACACACACACACACGTTATAGTTTCTTTTACAACAAAACCACATTTTATTTACAAGGCTGGGCCTCCTCCCAGCTGGTAAATGCATTTAGAAGCAATGAAATCAGGCTTCACAAATAATAATGGGCATCGTTAAGCAGAGGGGAAGTACTTGATCCTAAGACAAACTTCCCCATGCCTGAGCTTGGCCGGGAAGGAATTTGGGGCAGAAGACAGAAATGGAAAGACACTGTTGACACTGGCCCAGCCCAGCAGCCAATAAGCACACAGCAGCTTCAAGGGCTCAACAAGGCCTGACCTGGCCAGTGATCCCCCCTACTTGAAGGGTTCCAAGGATCCTGACTGCCCTAGTCCATCTCTAGCAACTGCCCCTGCCCCTGCTCACTGGGGAATTCTACCTACTGTACCCAGATCTCAGGGCATGTGCCGTGCTGAATACATCCCACAGGAGCTTATGTTCCACTTTACCCTGCATTGATTCAAATCCAAATAGCTATCTTAAATAGCTAAGTCACAGTCCAGGAGAAACATATCCTTTCCGTGATGGAGAGCGGCAATAAGGGGACACACAGGGAGAGGGAAGCCAGGCTCTTAAAATCGTGTGCCACTAACGTCACAGCCGGCATCATGATGTGTATGCATGTTTACAAGAAATGTTGAGCATCCATCCGGTGGAGCTCTGCATCCGACTGGAGACGTTACACCTGCTTCCTACGAAGACAGAGGCTTTGCTAGCAAGCCCAAAGCTTACCAATAATCTACGAAGGGATGTTTTCATTCTCCTCCCAGTGAACATTTGGGGAGGGGCTAAGACTCCAGGCAACATTAAAACACCACCAAGATGCACACTCGATGGAGCACAACACTTTCTGAGCTGCCATCAATTTTTAATTTATTGGATCCAAGAGAAAATAACAACTGTGGGGAGGAGGGATGGAGAAGGGTGGACGGGTGAGAGCAAGAATGAATTCTTGGGAGAGAAAATAACTATGACTAGATGACGCTTAAAG